AAATCTGGGAGTATGCCAAATAATCCCAAACTCACACTATCAAATTCTTCCAGTTCATAACCATTCGCCTTATAGCCATGGTTATCTTGGTACATAGCAAACAAATATCTACACTAAGACAAAAATGAAAATCGTTGATCAACTAATCAAAATCTATTACAGTAAGTTTCACTTAAACGTCAACAGAATTCTTACCCTTTAGTCTCTCATCTATTATCCATGCACTTTTCTTGACAACTCACCATATCTTGCCTCAAAAAGTACTGGTGCCTTGACTGACTAATAAGTTAGTTTATTAAATAAGCAAATTATGTTCTAAAGGGTTTTTTTTTTCACTGGTCTCTTCGCTCACCATGTGTATCTATATTTTGTTATTATTATATGGCTATATTATTTTTCATATATACTTATTCTTCTTCTTCTTCAAAAATGAATATTTTATATAGTTCTGTAGTTATAAATAATATAACTATATATTATACAGTTTTATGCAGTGGTGATGGGAGAACAAAAACGTATAATTTGACTAACCCCTATATTAAAATAAAATAAAAAATAAATAAATTCTTAACGGACATTTTTAATTGTCATTTCATAGTGTTCAAATATAAACGTCATCTAAAATACGTAATTCTAGCTATCAGATTTTTATTCCTCCACTCCATATCAAAAATTCACTATACTTTGTGTTAAGAGATTCTTTACATGTTTTACGATATTTTAAATTTTGAATTACGAGTATCTACGTAACTACTTGTTAAAAGTTAATAATGTTCATTAATTTATGTTTAATAAAAGATAAATTCACTCTAACATTAATGCTAATTGGCAGTATGTAAGCACTAAACTGGATCTACTGAATGCACATTTGCCATGTTGTATAGGTACTTTTTGTAAGATGAAGAAAACACAGCAGGTGTGGCGAGTCTTCTTAACGATTTTGTGTAATAATATTTTCATTGTTCAACGCTATTGTTCGTTTTAAATATTGTTTAATAATTTACCGACTGAACTATACCTATTATTATTGAAATTATAATTATAATTTAGGTTGTAGTTTATCGTCGAAAGCAGAACATAAAAATGTAATGTCAGCTGCATACAATAATCAACACAATGCGCGTCCCCGAAATAAATACATCGTTTATTCGTTTGTATAATATATTAAACTAAATACAGAGGTATTGATCGCGTACAATTA